GAACTGATCTCGAGCCAAAAATCCACATTCTAATCCTCCTTCTCCATGGGCCTTGACCAAATCATCTAGCCATTCCAAGTCTTGTTATTTCTCAACCGAAATGTTTGGGGACTCTAACAGGTGCTGTGTAAGGGTCTCTTCCCACCTTATTGTTATATGATTTTAAACAGCAGCATCTTCTATAGACTAAATTGTACAAAAGTGGGTTGACATTAATCATTGAATGCAAGAAGAAATTGAGGAGAATTAAAGTAAGGATAAAGGAAATATGAGAATAAAATAATCCAATTGTAAAGTTAGAAAGGATTTTATGAATCATGAATTGCTCTAAAGTCCGTGGCAGAAAATAGAAAGAAGTTTATCTATGGCTATTACGGCTTTCTTCCTATGTGCTCCTGTAACACCCTGTACTTCCCCACATCATAGGGTTTATCACCTTCTATGTTTTAATTTGCCTTACTTGATCATCTCCTCTTTATCTGTAAGCTTCGAGGGCAAACACTGTGTGACGTTCCTCATTGATTCCCTAACACTTAGCTCTGTGCTTGACACACAGCAAGTGCTCTGTAAATATTTGTTGAGTGAAAGAAGTAACTTTCTTCTTTTCTTTAGTAATGAAATTTAAACTCCCTTTTTTGATTTTATAACAGGCATCACTAAACTGAGCACATCACTTCCTTTATAGAGTCAGAACAAGAGTGAGCAAATTTCAGTCTGCAGGCCAGATTTGACCCACCATCTCTTTTTGTAAATAAAGTTTTATTGGAACACAGTCACATTCATCTGCTTACATATTGTCTACAGCTGCTTTTGCCTTACGATGGCAAAGTTGATTAGTTATAACAAAGCCTGGGTGGTCTGTAAAGCCAGAAATATTTAATCTCTAGTCTTTTATAGAAAAAGATTGCTGACCCTTGGTAGGGAGTTATAAGGAAATTGTGACTGATTAAAGTAAGACAACTTAAATCAACCACTCAAAGCCTAATACAGCACTATTAGCCTTTGAACTTAGTTTTGTAAAGATCACAATATTATGAAAGAATCTTCTTTTTTCTCTGTATCTGACCGGGGAAATTTAATGTTAAAAACCACATGCACTGGGGCCAGCCCGGTGCCGTGGTGGTTAAGTTCACACACTCTGCTTTGGTGGCCTGGGCTTTCCAGGTTCAGATCCTGGGCACAGACCAAGCACTGCTCATCAAGCCATGCTGTCGTGGTGTTCCACATACAAAATAGAGGAAAAGGGGCAGAGATGTTAGCTCAGGGCAAATCTTCTTCACCAAAAAGAAAAAGAAGCAGCAGCAGCAGCATCACAGGGCACTAATCTGGCCTCTGAAAGTCCATGTCTCCCACACAAGTGATGCTTTTCAGTTAGCATTTAAAGAAATGTGTTCTCCTCTCTGGCTTTAGTGAATTGGTTGCCTGACATTTGGCTTGCACACTAGGATGCCTGGCAGGCTTTTCATTGCCAGCAGCATCACACTCAGTTTCTTACTCTTTCTTCCACAATTGTGTTATATTTCATGATTAATAAAGAAAGCTGAACAAGAAATGAAAGAGAAAACTGTCATAACAAATGGGCTAAGATACAGAGAAGAAATAATGAGACATTTTCTTGCTTGGAAATCCCTAAACAGATGACAGGAACAACAAACAACAACAGAATTAAGAAACTTTTCACATTCTGGGAATATGGTAAAGGCAGGCCAAATTTTGTTCTCACAATTTTCTTTCTTGATTAAATGATTTAGATAGTGACACTTAGGAAAGCCAATAAAGACAATGTCTTAAATACAAATAGAAGATGAATGAATGGCACTCAGAGGCCCTGGATGTTGGCCAGAACACCAGGCCAAACCATGGTGCCTGGGCTGGCTCTTTTATTCTGTGCTCCTTGCATAAAATCTAACTCATACATAGTAGATGCTGTGAACTAATTAAGAAAGCAAGAGTAAGCAACTGAGGGTAAATGTTTACAAAACATAAAAGCATAGTCCTCTGCTTAAGTTTCAGGGAAAAAATAAATACACAAAAAAGTTTGTTTTGAAAAATTTTCATAGTAGAAAGAGAACTGTGAAATGTCTCTCTGAATAAATGTGCATTTATGCATATCTCAGTAGGCCTAGTGCAGAAATACACAGTGGACATCATTCTAAGCTATGATTGATGACTTCATAGCATCTCAAACAACTAAATTATTTCTTAAAAAAGAAGAGGAGCAGTCTTAATGTGTGTAGCAAGTAAAACTATTGAGTTTATTAGCACCAGGAAATTTCTTATCTTTTTTGGGAGTGTCTGGCATTTGAGAAGAATTTTGACACAATCCTTAGAGTTAAAGATCTAGTTGAAAACAACTTTACTGACTAAAAAGTCTATTCTTAAAGGATAGTCTCATATTTCTCATCTTATTTTGCTTTGAATGAGTGACTTATATGCTTTTCTTCTACAAAGATTCAGTACATTTTCTTTGTAAATAAAAATCTGAGTAAGATGTGTTAAAAAAAGTAAGAAAATATTTATAGGCATCTATTTTTGTGTTAGCTATTAAAAATATTTGTGAGAACATTGTCCATTATATCTCCCAGATTTCTCTCTATAATTTCCAAAGAGAGATATTTTCTTTCAGTTTGGGATAAAGATATATTTATATTCGCTGTTATCTTATAAGGTTTGAGTAACATTTATTTTTCTCTCTTCCCTTTGTCTGCTGGAAAGCTTACGGCTAAGTTTTACGGTTGTAGGGGAGGAAGACATTTCCTCTTCCCAAATGTGGGTTCGTCTGGCCGGAGAATGAATTAAATTCACATGAGACAGAATAGCAAGAGAAAATTAAACAAAGCTTTATGAGGAACCATGGCCCGGGGCCTCTCTTCCCGAAGGAAGAAAGGGCACCGAAGAAGTGGGGTGCACACAGTGGTTATATACCCCCAAACAGGGTGTTTCACATGTCATTGAAATGTCCCTCCCACAATAGTCACGAGGCTGCTCTGTCAGCACAGCACTCAATGGAAACGACAGATAGGTCTGCTGTCTCAGTGAACGCCACGGGGTGGCAGGTGTGTTGCCTTGGGCTGGGGGGGTCACAGCTGAGCGCTGCAATCGGTTCCCAGCCTAAAGAAAGATGCTTAATCTTTAAGGAGATGCCAATGTTGGGAGGGGGAGGGAAGTCAGTCACAGGAGGTTACCAGAGAAGCACAATAAAATGCAGATTTAAGTCCTTGCCTTTGGTATTGATTAAGAGTTTCTAGAGAGAAGGTCATCTCCCTTCTTCTTCCTGGTACAGAGAGGGAGGCACCTTTTACAGATAGAGATTTACTTTACAAACGTAAATGTGTCCTAACAAAGGGCCCTCAGAGCCTCCTTCCCTGTCCCAGTTTATCAAAAGCAATCAGCCTCAAATAATCCTGATGCCAAAGAGACATATCTTGGTGTGGCCAATTTCAGGTCCCTACATGGTCAAACGTAATAGTTGTATTTTTCCTCCTGTTTGTCATGTTAGCTTTCATCTCTTTTCCAGACTTTATTTCTCCCTTGTCTTCCTCCCCAACTCCAAGTTTTTTTACTTAGTTTCATTTTCGTGGTTTTAAAAGGGGCTTTTAGTCCTTTTTGTCTATTGAAGAAGTCAATGAGTACTGAACTCAGACAGAGAAGCATCAACCAAATACCTTATGTATGTTATTTGTTAAAAAGATGACTGTTTTCCACTCTCACATCCTTCTCCTTATGAACCAAATGAATTCCTGTTCCTCCTTCAAGGTTGAGCTCAAGTGTCTTTCCCGGTGTGCCCCTTCTCTCATCCAGAAAGCGTAGTCGATCACTTTGCAGCAGCACTGTGCTGGCTTCTGTGAATTCGCTTATCACACAGCGTCTGTCTGTTTGCCTCTGTTTCTACTCACAGATTATCAGGCTCTTTTGAGCAATGGTTGTGCTACGAGCTGGACATTGGGCATAGAAACATGAAAAAAGCACAACCAACATATTAATGAATTCGAAAATTATGAAAAAATACAATGCTTTGGAAGTGTTTATGAAGACAGTGAATGTGTTGTGTAGGGGAGGAAGACATTTCCTCTTCCCAAATGTGGGTTCTTCTGGCTGGAGAATGAATTAAATTCACATGAGACAGAACAGCAAGAGAAAATTAAACAAAGCTTTATGAGGAACCATGGCCCGGGGCCTCTCTTCCCGAAGGAAGAAATGGCACTGAAGAAGTGGGGTGCACACAGTGGTTATATACCCCCAATCAGGTTGTTTCACATGTCATTGAAATGTCCCTCCCACAATAGTCACAAGGCTGCTCTGTCAACACAGCGCTTGATGGAAATGGGAGCTAGGTCTGCTGTCTCAGTGAACGCCACGGGGTGGCAGGTGTGTTGCCTTGGGCTGGGGAGGTCACCGCTGAGTGCTGCAATCGGTTCCCAGCCTAAAGAAAGATGCTTAATCTTTAAGGAGATGCCAATGTTGGGAGGGGGAGGGAAGTCAGTTACAGGAGGTTACAAGAGAAGCACAATAAAATGCAGATTTTAAGTCCTTGCCTTTGGTATTGATTAAGAGTTTCTAGAGAGAAGGTCATCTCCTTTCTTCTTCCTGGTACAGAGAGGGAGGCACCTTTTACAGATAGAGATTTATCTTACAAATGTAAAGGTGTCCTAACAAAGGGCAAGTTCCATTCCTCCTTCCCTGTCCCAGTTTATCAAAAGCAATCAGCCTCAAATAATCCTGATGCCAAAGAGACATATCTTGGGGTGGCCAATTTCAGGTCCCTACAGCTGATTGGCAAGCTTCCATTGTGTTCCCTCCAAGTAACTAATACTGTACTATACACTATTGGGGTTGGGGGTAACGTGATAGTTCTTACCAGGGAGATAAAACTCCAATTTGTGATATCTTCAAGGAGTTAACTATTCTGAGAAGGGTAGAATTAATATGGGTTTGAGCAGTTGGATAATTTTTAAGACTTGGAATGGTCTTAATGACATGAATCGGTTTCTTCATTCCAGGTAGGATGGCAGAACAGATTAAGCAACAATATGAGGATGTAACAATGAACGTGGCTTATCCAGGGAATGGTGAGAAGACCTGTTTAAAGACTTGAAGGGTAGGTGATGATTAAAGATTTCCTATACTAATGGAAAGTAGGAGTCGGATTATTGGAAAGTCTTGAGATTATTTGATATTTGGAAAAAGCTATTGTTCATTTTTGAACAAGAGGGTAACAATGCAAAGTAGATTAATTTGACAACAGTATAAATAATAAGTTAGAACAGTGTAAACTAGAAGTAGGGAGATTATATAGCAGTAGAAATCTAGGTATGGGAAGGAGAAGGCCTAGATTAGAACACCTATGGTATTAACAGAAGCAAAAGTTTCTACCAGGAAAATGTTTGACGGCAAGAATCTTGAGGCTATGGGGTGGGTGAATAATGAGGCACAATTTCTTGATCAGAAGTAAGAATGTGACCATTACATTAAATTTATTAAATTAATAAAACTTAATATATGCTAAACTAGCATTGCTCTTTAAAATAGCAAATCAGTAGAGAATGTAATTCTCATGTAATGGGATGTATGATGATATATGATGTATGAGGATACTAGACACTGATTTTTCTCCTGTAATAGTTCAGCATGGAGGCTGATTTGCACTCAACATCGTTTTAATGTTGATTATTTGTGAATCTGTAGTTTATCGTCTTTATGAATTATTATAACAGAATTCTTAATTGATGCATAATGATGAGGATTTTAGGCTGGTTACTTTTAAAACTGCAGATGAGAAGCAGGCTCCGAGGACTGGAATTTTGCTTGCCCTTCGAGAGACATTTGCATTTGTGAAGGAAGGGGGGGATGACCTTGTAGGGACCTGAAATTGGCCACCCCAGGATATGTCTCTTTGGCATCGGGATTGTTTGGGGCTGATTGCTTTTGATAAACTGGGACAGGGAAGGAGTCTCTGAGGAATGGAACTTGCCCTTGTTGGGACACATTTACATTTGTAAGGTAAATCTCTATCTGTAAAAGGTGCCTCCCTCTCTGTACCAGGAAGAAGAAGAGAGATGACCTTGTCCCTAGAAACTCTTAATGGGGAAGGCAAGAACTTAAGTTGGTTGCTGTCTGGCAATCTCATGTAACTGATTTAGGGTGGTGGCTTCTAACCTTTCTAACCTTTACTTAATCCGATTTGATTCTTGTCTAAAAGCCATGGGATCACCCAATGACCAGACCCCACCTGCACTGATACCATTTTAACGTTTTTTCATGTTCTTTCCTTTGTCTTGTAAAGAGATGATTCACATACCCATGCCTTATAAAATTAGCCCTAACCCTCAACTCAGGGCAGCAGCAGCGGCTCTGACTGCCCATGGGCCCTGTCCCCATGCTATTCCACACTATTCTCTAAATAAAAGAGCACTACTGCCAGATCTTGAGAGTCCAAGAAATCTTTCTTTCAACTCCTCGGCTCACCAACCCCGCATCACACAACATTGCCACCAAGGCAGGGGCTTCTATTAGTTTGGTAGGACTGACATAACAAAATACCACAGATTGAGTGGCTTAAACAGCCGAAGTTCATTTCCGCACAGTTCTGGAGGCTAAAAGTCCAAGATCTAGGTGTTGACAGGTTTAATTTCTTGTGAGACCTCTCTCCTTGATTTGCAAATGACTCCTTCCTTGATTTGCAAATGACTGCTTCTGTGTCTTTACTTGGCCTTTTTTCTATGCACACACACTCCTGGTGTCTCTTCCTCTTTTTATAAGGAAATCAGTCTTATTGACTTAGGGCCTCACCTTAATGGTCTAGTTTTAACTTAGTCCCTTCTTTAAAGACCTTATCTCCAAATATGGCTACATTCAAAGGGTTGAGACTTCATCATATAAATTTTGAGGGAACACAATTCAGTCTACGACATTCTGCTCCCTGGACCTCCAAAATTCCTGTCCTCACATGCAAAATACACTGACCCCATCCCAACAGCCCAAAAGACTTAACCTGCCACAACTCTAAGTCTGCATCTCATCTAAATATCATCTAAAGCAAATGTGGGTGAGACTGTAGGTAAGATTTATCCTGAGGCAAAATTCCACCCCAGCTGCGAACCTGTGAAATCAGACAAGTTATCTGCTTTCAAAATACAATGGTGGGACAGGCATAGGATAGACAATCCTGTTCCAAAAGGGAGAAATCGAAAAGAAGAGAGAGGTCACAAGTTCAGGCAAGTCCAAACCTAAAAGGGCAAATTCCATAAGATTTTAAGGCTTCAGAATAATCCTCTTTGGTTCAATGTTCTGTCCTCTGGGTTCACTGGGGTGATAGACCCGATTTCTGGGCCCATTGGGGTGGTAGCATTGCCTTCTGGGCCCTGGGCTGCAGTTCCAACTCCATGGCCCTGGGTGGCAGCAGTCTGGCCTGCTGGGAGCAAGGAGGTGACCCCAAACTGAAACCTCGGAGCAGACAGCCTCGCCTCCAGACCTGTGGTGGAATGGCAGCCCTGCGGATGTCTGAAATGATGCGGGGTCGGTGAGCCAAGGAGTCGAAAGAAAGATTTCTTGGACTCTCAAGATCTGGCAGTAGTGCTCTTTTATTTAGAGAATAGTGTGGAATAGCATGGGGACAGCACCCATGGGCAGTCAGGCTGCTGCGTGGGGACAGGACCCACGGGCAGGAGGAGCCACTGCTGCTGCAAACATGGGTGGAGAGTAAGGCTAAATTTAAGGCATAGGTATGTGAGCCATCTCTTTATAAGACAAAGGAAAGTACCTATAAAAAAGTTAAAATGGTATCAGTGCAGGTGGGGTCTGGCCATTGGGTGGTCCCACAGCTTTTAGATAAGAATCAAATCGGATTAAGTAAAGGCCAGAAGCCACCACCCTAAATCAGTTACATGAGGTTGCCAGACAGTAACCAACTTAAGTCCTTGCCTTCCCCATTAAGAGTTTCTAGAGATAAGGCCATCCCCATTCCCCCTGGCACAGAGAGGGAGGCATCTTTACAGATGGAGGTTTCCCTTGCAAATGTAAATGTTTTCCAACAAAGGGCAAGCAAACTCCAGTCCTTGGAGCCTGCTTCTCATCTGCAGTTTTAAAATTAACCAGCCTAAAATCCTCATCATGAATCACCTTTGGGATCATTTCTTCCATTTTTTGAAGGATAATGCATGTTTGTAGTTGGACAGCTTTGATATTCTGACCTGTAGAATCCCAGAAGTTGAACAGCTTTCCTCCATTTTGTTCCAGCTCTCCTCTTCAGCCCAAACTGCCAGTGTTTCTATTGGTAGAAATTCTCTCTGTTCTTGGCTTCTGCTGAGACCACTGTTTAGATCTGAGTCACACCCATAATCTCTTTATGGACTGATTGTCAAACCATGCCCTTGGTCTTCTATCTAGAGCAAATTTTCACATTTTTTGCAATATGGTCAGGCTGAGGATGTTCAAACTCTTCAAGTTCGGGCTCCTTTTGCCTAACAATTCCTTCTCCAATTTCTCTCTCTCCTCTCACATTTTTCTATTAGCAGCAAGGAGAAACCAATCTGCACCTTCAACATGTTCCTTAAAAGTCTCTTCAGCTAAACATCCAATGTCATTGATGAGGATGTTAGGTTGGTTACTTTCAAAACTGCAGATGAGAAGCAGGCTCCGAGGACTGGAATTTGCTTGCTCTTCGAGAAATATTTGCATTTGTGAAGGAAGGGGGGATGACCTTGTAGGGACCTGAAATTGGCCACCCCAGGATATGTCTCTTTGGCATCGGGATTGTTTGGGGCTGATTGCTTCTGATAAACTGGGACAGGGAGGGAGGCTCTGGGGAACGGAACTTGCCCTTGTTGGGACACATTTACATTTGTAAGGTAAATCTCTATCTGTAAAAGGTGCCTCCCTCTCTGTACCAGGAAGAAGAAGAGAGATGACCTTGTCCCTAGAAACTCTTAATGGGGAAGGCAAGAACTTAAGTTGGTTGCTGTCTGGCAATCTCATGTAACTAATTTAGGGTGGTGGCTTCTAACCTTTCTAACCTTTACTTAATCCGATTTGATTCTTGTCTAAAAGCCATGGGATCACCCAATGACCAGACCCCACCTGCACTGATACCATTTTAACGTTTTTTCATGTTCTTTCCTTTGTCTTGTAAAGAGATGACTCACATACCCATGCCTTATAAAATTAGCCCTAACCCTCAACTCAGGGCAGCAGCAGCGGCTCTGCCTGCCTATGGGTCCTGTCCCCATGCCAGCAGGGGCAACACAAGCAGCAGCAGCAGCAGCTCTGACTGCCCATGGGTCCTGTCCCCATGCAGCAGCAGCACCTCTGACTGCCCATGGGCCCTGTCCCCATGCTATTCCACACTATTCTCTAAATAAAAGAGCACTACTGCCAGATCTTAAGAGTCTAAGAAATCTTTCTTTTGACTCCTCGGATCACTGACCCCACATCATCATCATTCACAAGTTCTACCTTCCACAAAACATTGGAACACAATTCAGCCAAGTCTTCTCACACTTTATAATAAGGATCACCTTGGGGCTGGCCTGGTGGTGCAGCGGTTAAGTGTGCACGTTCTGCTGCAGCAGCCCGGGGTTCACTGTTTCAGATCCCGGGTGCGGACGTGGCACCGCTTGGCAAGCCATGCTGTGGTAGACGTCCCACATATAAAGTAGAGAAAGATGGGCACGGATGTTAGCTCAGGGTCAGTCTTCCTCAATGAAAAGAGGAGGATTGGCAGCAGATGTTAGCTCAGGGCTGATCTTCCTAAAAATAAATAAGGGTCACCTTTTTTCCAATTTCCAATAACACGTTCCTGATTTCTGTCTGAGACCTGACCAGAATCGTCTTTAACATTCATATTTCTGCCAAGAGTCTCTTCAAGGTGTCTACAAAAATAATCCATAACCAATGTATAAATGAAAATTTGGGTGAGTTTATTCTGAGCTGAAATCTGAGGACCATGGCCCAGGGCCATTCTTCCCCAAGGAAGAAAGGGCACCGAAGAAGTGGGGTACACAGAGTGGTTATATACCTCCAAACAGGGTGTTTCACATATGCTTGAAATGTCCCTCCCACAATAGTCACAAGATTGCCCTGTTGGCACAGCACTTGATGGAC